TTTTTTTTTTTTTTTTTTTTTGGTATTGGGGATTGAACTCGGGACCTTGCAGGTGGAAGAACCACTGAGCTACATCCCCAGCCCAACAACATGCTCTTAAAGAGAGTTGGGGGTTTGGCAAGAGTTCAGCTCAGCAGTATAAAGGTTACACTGGATGACACCTCCAAGGAACACCCAGGCACACAGCCATCTGAAAGCCCTTAGGATGGAAGCTTCACTTCATGGGTAAAGATGGATTCAGTTGTTGACCACTGGTGAACACACTCATCTTCAGCCCCTCGCCCTTCCCGGAGTCTAAGGAATGGGGCTTTGGGACCCTGAATCAGACAGCCAGTTTCCCTAGCAACCAGCCCCAAGCACAGGCCCCCCAGGAGTCCCACCTCTGTCACCTCCTGAGCCATGCTCAGACTGCTGGCCATTCCGGGGTCTCCCTGACTGTGTGCCAGGAAAACAGGCTTGGAGACGGGACGCCTTTCACAGTGGCCGGTGTTTGGAGGGAAGGAGCCGCAGGCTGAGCAAGGCCACACGGCTCTCCCAGGCAGACCAGAGGCCTGTCCTGGAGGGCATCTGCACAGGACACTGAGCCTGGCTTCCCTGTCCCAGCCACGATTGAACGTCCTCTGATCGATCGATTGATTGATTGGGTCCTAGAGGTGCTCAATAAGCTGTACCACTAAACTATATCCCCCCGGCCTTTTTAATTTTTGTTGTCGTTGTGAAGTTGCCCAAGCTGGCCCCAAACTTGGGATCCTCCTGCCACAGCCTCCAGAGTGCTGGAATTGTAGGCATGTGTCACGACACCCAGTTTGTCCAACGGGTATTTTATAAGAACGGAGTGTGGCTGGACATGTGGCCTGGTAGTAGAACCTGGCGTTTGCCAGCCCCAGACTTCTGTCCAGGAAGGGAGGGAGACGAAAGGGCAGGTTGGGGCTTGGCTTAGCGAGAGGGTGCTCGCCCTGTGTTTAATCCTCAGCACAGCAAAAATAAAAAGAATAGGACAGAGAAGAAAATGCTGTAGTAGTTCACACCAGGGACAGTGTTTGTGCTCTACAGGGTTTGGAATATAAACATTTGTTTTCATGAGTCCTGACTGTAGAAGTTCAGACACCCTCAGTGACCCAGGAGAGGGCGCCGGGCCTGGCCCACGCTGTCCCAGAGTGGGGACCAGTCACCATCAGCAGGCGGGGGGCACGTGCTGTTGTCCGGCTGTCTGGCTGGGGCCTGGTGCGTGCTCACTGGCCTGGCAGGGCCCAGGAGGAAGTCCAGGTTGCGTGGAGGGGTGGGCTGCTCCTGACTCCCTGTTTCTCCCCAGGGTGGAGTACGTCAAGCTGGCCAAAGAGTACAAAGACAGCGTCAACTTGGGCCAGGGCTTCCCAAACTTCCCTCCCCCAGACTTTGCCTTAGAAGCCTTTCAGCAGGCTGTCACCGCGGACCACATGCTCAACCAGTACACCTCGGCATTTGTGAGTCCCGGGGCTCCCTGGGGAAGAAGGGGCGGGCCTGACCGGACCTCAGAGCCACGGCTGTTGTTCAGTTAGCGGGGCGTCCCCTCTGCCCCAGGATCTGAGGTGGGACAGGGAGCAGAAAGGAGGGAATAAAACCTGGGGATGGACGGGTGGGAGTAAGGGAGGGCTGCCTGGAGGAGGTGACGCCTACCCAAGCCCTGACACACAAGCTGCAGACTGTCTGTGTGTGTCTCTGAGTGTGTGTGTGGCTTTGGAGATGGAACCCGGGGCGGAGCTACGTCCCCAGCCCCTTTTATCTTGTATTTTGTGAAAAGGTCCCACTAAATTCCCCAGGGTGGACTCAACCTTGCAGCCTACTTGCCCCAGCCTTCCAGCGCCGCCATGCCCCGCCGAAATCCAGACTCTTTCCGTAAAAGACACACAGGAGATGCTTGCCACCCTCACACTGAACGGTGGCTCTTTCACCTTGGTTTGTCCCTGCACTGCCGGGAGGGATTTTTCCTGACATTCCGGTCACTGTGGTCTTGTGTTGTGTGCCCGAAGTGTCCTAGTGCATGCGATGTTCCAGAACTGATTTCACTGCGCAGCACATTGTGGGCACCGTCCCCTCAGCACAGCCTCTTGGTTAGGGCTGCTGACTTCCTGTGGCTCTGGCTACCTGCGAGGATTCCTTACCCGTCCCACACCGATGCACTGCTTCCGGGGTTCACAGTGTGACTCCACCGTGTGGGCGTCTTTGGATACATGTGCGTTTCTCGAAGATAAATTCCTTCAAGTCAGCGCGAGTGGGCATTCCTTTGTCTGCCTGCCCTGCTCTGCCAGCAGTTGGCATACTCAATTTTTTTTTGGTACCAGGGGTCGAACTTGGGACCTTGTGCTTGCAGGGCAGGCGGCGGAACCACTGAGCTTCGGCCCCCCTTTTGAGTCAGGGTCTCACTACACGGCTCAGGCTGGCCTTGAACTCGCAGTGATCCTCTTGCCTCAGCCGCCCGAGTGCTGGGATTTGAGGGCTGCGCCACCACGCCTGGCTTTTCAGTTTAACCCATCCTCCCTCTCCCCTTGCTGCCAGACTGATGTTAAAATGTTCACCTTTACTCTTCTCTTGCTGTGCATTTTGGTCAGTTTGTGTTTCTTGTTGCACCTTCCTGATCAGTGTTTCCCAGAGCCCTGTCTGAAGATCTTTTGGGTGGCCAAGCACATGTTATCTTGCAGGATGTTGTTGTTATATTCGTATTCATTGGGGATAGTGGTGGTCGTACTGCTGTGCATCAAACCCACGGCCTCCTGAAGACTAAGTGTGCCGTAGTGCACTACAGAGACACTGAGCTACACAACACCCCAGCACCTACGGTAGCTGCTCTTTACGTGGAAAGAACACAGGAAAACCAGCAAAGGGAAGAGGCAGGCAGGGAGAGGTTCACAGGAGACCAGGCGCCGGCTTCCAAGACTTCTCCCATTTTGTGATGAGACAGTCAGTTCTAAATTTGCCAAGGGGCTTGCTCACCGCACTTACTTACTTATGTATGGCAGTGTGACTGGGCAAGTCATGTCTGCCGGCCCCAGCTCTTCCCTGTGAAGCGGTCGGTCGTGATTATTGTCAGGCATAGTCCTTCGACAGGATGTTTTCTAAGGCACTGTATGCCTTCCGCTGAACACCATGCCTGGCTCGGAATAGGAGATCAGAAAGTAATCATTGTCACCATTACTATTTTATCGGTGTCAGTAAATACCAGAGGGGAGAGGGAGAGGGAGAGAGAGAGAGAGAGAGAGAGAGAGAGAGAGGACAAACCAGAGCTAAAGGAGGTCCCTACCATGTGACAGCGATGTGGTAAGTCCTTGTAAGAAGTCTTCATCCAATGACATCCATTCCCCAGGTGCTCCTGTCAACCGACTTTCACGACTCACCTCAAAATACTTTCAAAGTGGAAAGTTTCCACGTTCTAGAAAATGGATTTTCTTCAAAGTCTTTAGGAGCTCCCTTCCATGGAGGAGCTTTTCTGTTCTGTTCTGTTCTGTTTATGAATCTCAGGGGTTTTCATTGTTGTTGGTACCGGAGGACTGGGGATGGACCTGGACACTTTCAGAGACCAAAGGATCCTGGTGGGACCCTGGGTTCTCTGTGACAGCCCAGGAGAATCGCCGCAGTCCAGATCTCAAATTAATCCAGCGAAAGCGTGCTTCGGGTCAGCACTTTCCAGGGCCTCCAGAACCCGTGGTCAGTGGCTCTCCTTTGGCTCTGAGTCATCGCGGGAAGTCGTGAGATTTCACAACTGTTGCAAAAGAAGGATGACAAAATAAACAGCTCCACACAACGTGCATCTTTCTTCGCACACTTCTGTGCGACTGAGCCCAGTGTGGCCGACAGGTCCTCTGCTCTGTTCAGGACTGTGATTCAGGTGTCTGAGACACCAGAGCCTCGTGAGGGGACAAATCTGCCCTCGGGCTCACGTGGGTGTGGGTGGAGCGTCAGTTCCACTCGGGCTGAGGGGCCAAAAAGCAGACACCCTGGGTGCTGTGTAGTGTTCCGCCTGGTTATTAGGACCACTGTCTAAAGATCTCGAAATATCTTTCTAAAGAGAGCAAAGTCGGTCCTGAGAGGGCAAGCTGATTATCTGCTGGCACACATTTCTTTGCCTACTCTAGCTATTTTTGTCTCAAATTATTTCTTAGCTTCCCAGCTGCCAGAAGTTTCTTGATGGGCTGTAGACGTGGAAGCGGGATTTGATTTCAAATTCTGGTCACCAACAGTAGTTCGGTGGTATCTTAGATCTATTGACAAAGGAAATACTGGCTTCTTTCAGGGACAAACATAGCCCCTTTGTTCTAGCTGTTAGGAGTTCTGTTCCCCTCCGATGTTGTGTGGCTGCTGCTGCTGGAGGGTCCATCTGGTCTGGAAGGACGGCAGTACTGCGGGCGAGTTCGTTAAGGCTGTCAGGTTCCTAGGTGGCATGGATTTCTTTCACCTGTGTGATCATTTCCAGGGCACAGATCAGGCCTCTGGTAGAGGGCCATAAAGGCTTGAACATAAGGCACCTGTGACCATCTTTTTTTTTTTTTTT